TATCCCCAGTTCATTCTTATTAATGCCCCGTTAACATATTAATTTGAATTGTGGCCACTGCCTTTCACACAAAGAAGACACATGAGTCTATTTAAGATTTTTTGGATCCTCCCAGACAGGAGGTGTCTTTCTCCCACATTTGCACATGTAAGTTTTATTTTTGACATCTTAATATGATTATTTTTGTTCTTGTAATGTCATGGAGTAAGAAAGAAAAATGGCTGGTTGTGTTTCTTTCCCCAACATTAAAACCAGGGAAAATAGCCAATTCTTTGGAAGCCAGTTGTTTGGAGTAAGATTTGAGGTCTTGCTGAGGGAAATAATTAGGCACTTCTGAAGAGTAAAGTAGCAAAGCATTGTGGGAAAACAGCACACTCAGGCCATTCAGCAGGCCACGGGCAGCTTTCCCGCTCCAGGGCAATAAATATCTCCAGAGAGCCACCCAATGTAGAGGAAGGAACACGCGCATTGGGGTCAGTCAGACCCGGATTTAACCTCCTCCTTCCCACCTACCAGTTGTGAGATGCAAGCAATGTCTTCAATTCTAAGAGACTCTCTTTCCCCAGGTAAAATGAAGGTCATAATGGTACATACCTCATGGTGGTGTTGAGAAAACTGAAAGAAATGGATATGAGCACGTAATCAATATCAGTTCTCTTCTAGGCCGAGAGTGTTGTACAAGTGGAATGAAACTACTCATCTTTTTACCATACCTTGTTCCGCAAAGGAATCAAGACCATTTGTATGGCTACCTCTAATAGACCAAAGTGAAATTAATGTGCAAAAATGACAAAGAAAATTAGGCAAAGGAAAGTATGGCAATAGAGTAAGTTGTACTCAAAAAACCAGGTCGATTTGCAAAATGCTCACAGAATCCTGACACCGTGACATAGGTGTGTGACACAGTTCGGCAGTTACAGTGTAACCTGTCGTTCAAGAAAAGCCCAGTCCTTCCTGATGGAAACACCAAAGATTTCTTTTCTCCCTTAAGGCAAAAGAGCACTAGGAGAAGACAAAAGACCTCATTTCCCTGTCTCTTCTCAGCAGTTATTTTACTCTGTGACCCAATACAAACCACACTACTGATCTGGGTCCCCATCTCCTTGTCTGCGCACATAGCAGGTTGGACGAGGTGAACTCCAAAGCCCTTTCTCGCCCCTACATTTTATGACTTGATTCTATTCTCAAAAAGTCTACAGCTTTTTCGTCTGAACACTTGCAACTCATGTGACGTGCCCTTTGAAATTCATCAGTATACTTTAACAATACTCATTCTTCATTTGGAACTTTAGGCTTATTTCTCTTCAGTCCTGTCATGGGCCTCCTGACAGAACTCGGGAACCAACACTCTCAGCGTAATAACCACTCGTTACTTCAATAAACCTAACAATGGAGCTATTAAAAACAGCTCACGCTAACTTGGGCAGATCGGGGTTTATTCAGAGTAAAAGTATCTTATTCGCAGCCTTCTCGTCTTCGTTTTCGGTTCCTAATTCTGTCAACCTTTCATCCTATATTTGGTATGAATTTTTTTTTGTTTTTGATAATTTCTTTTGTTCCCATTGGGAATCTCTAAGGATCTGATAACAGAAAGCACAGAAAGCCGCTGATGAGGAGGCTACTATATATACTCCGCTCATGAACTTCGGTTGCTCAGAGGATGACTCTGGTTAGGCTCTTTAGCCATAGCTTCCTGATCTGTATTCTAGATCATAACAGGAACTCAATCGGATTGGGTAAGGAGGGCTGGATGGAGAGGAGAGAGATTTTGGACATTAGGAAATGTCTGTACTCTATAACATCTACCTTATCCAGCATTGCTTTCTCTCCTCTGAGACTGACCTCTTGCAAATCCCCACCTTCTCTCAGCAGGAAACACTACTTCCCCTACCCACTGCCCACCTTTCCTGCCACTACTTTTTTTTTTTTCAACGTTTATTCATTTTTGGGACAGAGAGAGACAGAGCATGAACGGGGGAGGGGCAGAGAGAGAGAGAGACACAGAATCGGAAACAGGCTCCAGGCTCTGAGCCATCAGCCCAGAGCCCGACGCGGGGCTCGAACTCATGGATTGCGAGATCGTGACCTGGCTGAAGTCGGACACTTAACCGACTGCGCCACCCAGGCGCCCCTCCTGCCATTACTTTCATGGGCCCTACATTCATTCCACCAGATTCCACGTGCTGTTGCTCAGGCTGTCCCTCAGAGAGGGTAAGAAACTTACCCAAGAACGTACAGACACTATGAGACAAAGCTGAGGTTCAAATTCCAGTCTGCGTAACCCCAAAGCCAGTAACTTAATCTTCACTGTTAAACTGAATCTCCAATAGAATTTTATTCTAAATTCTTCCATGAAAACTTTCTCAACTTCTCTATTAAAATATGTTTATTTGGGGGCACCTGGGTGGCTCAGTCGGTTAAGCGTCCGACTTCAGCTCAGGTCATGATCTCGAGGCTCGTGAGTTTGAGCCCCGCGTCCATCTCTGTGCTGACAGCTTGGAGCCTGGAGCCTGCTTCAGATTCTCTCTCTCTCTCTCTCTCTCTCTCTCTCTCTACCCCTTGCCTGCTCACACTCTCTCTCTCAAAAATAAATAAACATTAAAAAAAGGTGTTTGTTCATTTATGTGTGTGTGTGTCTCTTAGTCCTTTGACTGGAACATTCTAATGTGGTTTGCCCATTACAATCACCTGAGAATTTTTTAAAACTTCCAAAGCCTATGATATGCCTCAAAAAATTAAGTCAAAATCTCTGGGGGGATGGGATACAGTTTCTTAAGCTCCCCAGAAGAGTCAATGTACAGACAAGTTTATACTCCTATTATAACTCAACAGAACTCAGCTCTGTGTTATAATCATTACGATTATAAAATGTAAGCTACTTGAGAGCAGAAATCTTATTTTAGTCAAACTTGTGCCTCCATAGCACCAAGAAAAAAAAAGTAGTACCTCAGTAATATTATTAAGTAGTCACGTTGTCCAATGTAGGTTCTATCAATTTAAACAACCATGGGAAGATTAACAAGAAACCCAAATGACAGGATTAGAAATATCTGATGTTTTGGAGTGTTTCCTGAGGTGGGAAAGGCCAAAGAATTGTGACTGCTTAGGGTAAAATTAGAGGACATTGAGAAGGTCCTTAACAATTTTCTCCAATCACAAGAAAGGTAGAACAAGACTGATGTGTCTTTGTTTTTAATCTCTGCTAAAGAAATGGGTCTTGGCTGCCACAGAAGTTGATTGGGTTAGACCTTATGAACTGACTCTTGGTGATCCAAAATGGAAAATTCTAGAATGGTGATCAAAGACGTTCACAGAATTGTCTTCTCAAGAGAGATTCAAGTAAGGATGAGACCACATATTGCTTTCAAGTTCTTCACTGAAGAGTCTGGATCAAACCTCCACCACGAACTACAAAGAGAATGTTATTTTTTCAAGCTGACAATGTGGTGAATTCCTGATTCTTTCTGGGGATTACAAAACAGTCCATTGTATGGGGTCCAGGCTATAAATTCAGGCTCGCAGATTGCTCAGAAGACAGTTCGAGAAAGCAAAAGGCAGATTGTCCAATCTGGCTGCTCTGTGTGCCAGGAGTTATTAATTATGTCTCTTCTAATAACAAGAGCTGGGAAGCAGCAAACTCAAAACATGCAGGGAAAACAAAACAAAATAAGATGGTAGTTTGCCTTAATGAGAGGAAGTGAGAGGCAGCAGCTACAGCAGCAGGCTTGGTAAACTGGGTACAAACCCTGCCAGCAACAGATTTTAGCTGCAGTTGGACGTGATCGCTATAGTAGCTGCAGAGGTCATGGAATCCCAACGGACTCTCTGACATCTGCCCCGTGACCGATGAGGTCACTTTTTTGTGTGTGCTTTTCTGGGATGGGTGGGGGATGACGGGAGAAGTCATTGAGAGAGACAAGGCAGGATCTGCTGTTCTGTGGATCATAAATTGTCAAAGTTGGCAAGGACACTACAGATTGGGTAGTAGTTCAACCCTACCTGTTTCTACACATGAAGAAACTGAGTTCTAGAGAATTTAAGCGAAATCATCCAGGTCACCCAACAATGGAAGACCAGGACCAGACTTTTCTCACTCCTCGCCTTGCTGGTTAATAGTAGGCTCCTTTTCTTCCTACCTGAGAAATTGGCTCTCTTAGACTCCTATGAACTCCTTAAATAGCCAACAGCCTCAAAAGCACATGTGCCTGAGTGTTTTAGCTTCCAACACCAGTGTAGTCCTGGGTCAACTCTGCTCAGTTCTTAGAACTTTTCTCATGATCTAAATCTCAGAAATTCAGGCTCTGGGATGCTTTGACATTTCTACCAAAAGTTATTTGGTAGCTTCTGCTTGGTAAGATGGTCATCATTTTACCAATGAAGTATATGTAGGGTTTGTTATACAAAAAGCCATCAGATTTTCCTGAGGGTGTCATCCCTTGACCTACCCACCAGCATGCTGCCTGAGAGTTCTCTAGGATTCAAACCTGGGAGGGCTGTGCTCCTCTCTGGTCCGCTGGACCCTGAGCATATCAAGGGCAGGAACTTGGTTTTACTCATCTTCATATACTGCTTGTCATTTGGAAGATACTCAGTAAATTAAAAAAAAAATTTTTTTTAATGTTTATTTAGTTTTGAGAGAGAGAGCACGAGCAGGGGAGGGGCAGAGAGAAGGGGAGACACAGAATCTGAAGCAGGCTCCAGGCTCTGAGCTGTCAGCACAGAGCCCGACGCGGGGCTCGAACTCACGGACCGTGAGATCATGACCTGAGCCGAAGTTGGCCGCTTAACTGACTGAGCCACCCGGGTGCCCCTTAATGTTTATTTTTGAGAGAGAGAGAGAGAGAAAGAGAGAGAGAGAGAGTGTGTGAGCACGGGAAGGGCAGAGAGAGAGAGACACACACACAGAATCTGAAGCAGGCTCCAGGCTCTGAGCTGTCAGCACAGAGCCTGACGCGGGGCTCTAACCCACAAACTGTGAAATCACGACTGAGCCACCCAGGTGCCCCTCAGTAAATTTTAATAAATGGATAGATCCAACACTTAAAGGGAGACCTTTACAAACTAGAGCTCAGAGGACTGCAACTAGGACTGTGAAATTTTGAACAGGATAAGGGATAGCTTAAAAAATGAAATATGCAACTGGGAGAAGAAAATACACACTGGGCAATTAATCACTATCTTCAAGCAGCCAACAGGCTATCTTGGGGAAGACACATAATAGGAGAAACTCCCTAAGTGGAGAAGGACTTCAAATGAACATACGCAGCAGCTTTAGGGAGGACAGTCAGTGTCCCATCTCTCGTGAGGACCATATCTTGATAGAAAATTGAAGGGAGGTGAGAATCCATAGGGTAGGGAGCTTGGCCCGTGACTTTTAAGCCTAAGGAAACGTGGACACCTTGGAATAGAGAACGTTTGGGGGCACTTCCATTAGAGGGGCATTGAAGGCGAGGGGTAAGCATCTGTAGTAAACTGAACTGGAGACAGCGGTAGAAAAAGTTGAGCTCAAGGGTAAGACGAGCACATTTGGCCCTCCTAAGATTCCTCGTTTTCTAATAATAACGATACTGGTTCCTGAGTGCTTCTATTCACCAAGCGTCGTATTATAACATTAAACTGATGATAATTCTGGTACAGCAACAATCAGGAAGCCCCATTTTGCACAAGTTCAACCTGAAAAAAAAAATAAAGGAAATTGACTTTTAAAAACATGCTGGCAAGGTTTCTGTGAAACTGGCACACTCAGTGGGAGAAACACAAATTGAATACAAATTGAAACAATCCTTTCGGAGAGCCATTTGGCATTTCTTCTCGAAAGCCAGAAACTCATCTAATAATCCCGCTCGAAGGGATTTACCCTAAGGAAAATAACTCTGAAAAAGAAAAAAACAAAACAAAACAACAACAACAAAAAACCAAACCTGGACGCTCAGAGCTCTCTAAAATATCAAAAGCTGGAAAGAATCCAAAGTCCCAATAATTTAGGAATGGTTAAATAATTTATGATACGTTAACTCCGTGAAAAATTATGGAGCCATTAAAATGATAAATGGGAAGACTTCGCGGCAACATGAAAAGCGTATAACAAATAATGTTCAACGATAAGAGTGGAACGCAAATGGCACATGTGCTCTGATTATAACTCCATAAAAACACTTGTGACTAGAAATTGAAAGGGACAACAGAGAAAGGTAGAGACTATTGTGTTTTATGAGATTTTGTATATAATCATTACATACTTAAATTTTTTTAAATTTTAAAATAAAATTTATTTTTGAAGGAGAGACAGACAGAGTGTGAGCAAGGGAGAGGCAGAAGAGAGAGACACAGAATCCACAACAGGCTCCAGGCTCTGAGCTCTCAGCACAGAGCCTGATGCGGGTCTCGAACTCACGAGCTGTGAGATCATGACCTGAGCCGAAGTCAGACGCTTAACTGACTGAGCCACCCAGGCGCCCCAGAATCATCATATACTTTTAAAAAATGAAAACAGAGAAGAGTTCTTGCTTTCTCTAGAGAAATCTGAGACTAACTAACAGCATGTTAGTTAGAAAGCATCTTTTAGGTCCTTGCCTAACACCCTCATTTTTACAATTAGGGAAAGTGAAGCCCTGAGAAAGTACCCTGTCTGTCCTATGACATTAGTGGTAGAGCTGGGACTAGAACAAGGAAGTGTAAGGGAGAGGATCCCTGGATGGTTATATTTCAGAGACTGATAATTTGTGGAAACACATGGAGTGAAGAGGGCACGAGGGAAAATAGGGTCACCTGTCATAAAAATTTTCAGATGTGGGTAGTAAATTGAGTGCATTGAGAATGTAGCATCCTCTGTCTGCTGAAGACCAGCTACCATCCCCTCATGAAGCACATAATGGATCTGGAACGGGAGGGTGTTTTTCTGCCTTTAAAGGCCATCTCCTCTCCTCTCCTCATCATTTCCCGTGTCCCAAGGTCAAGGGCTCATCAATCATTCTGTAAACACTTTGTCGGCACCTGTTATGTCCCAGGAGCTGTACTGGCCTGGAGAAAGACACTCAGAGAAAGAGCTCTGATAGCACTCCCACTTTAGAACTGGACACAGACAATTTGCATGGAAACAAATAATTAAGATGATTGAACAATGTGGTGAGCACTATTACACAACACGACAGGAATTTGTGATGGGACTAACCGGCGAGGGGATGAGCGTGGGGTGTGGGGGACCCTGAGTGAGGAGGTGATGTGATCTGATCTATAGACTTGAACCCTCACCGGCTGCCTTTATTGTTTGAGAACGGTCGTGACCGCCCCTCGGCAACAGTCTCTGTCTCTCGTTACTGTGGCCACAGAGGTCTCTCAATAAAATATGAATTTGATGTGATACTGGTCCACCGGCAAACTTTCCGAAGCTCCTTGTCACCCCCAAGCTAAAGCTCCGGCACTCGGCACAGCTCTTGAGATCTCCACAGTAGCTTCCCAAGTCACGTTGGGGCAGCGGTAGCACATGTCCTGCCCCCCGGTGCCCCACCGCACACAGCCCCCCTGGGAGCCCCACTGGGCACTCCCTTGGTCGCTTGGTGTGCTGCCACTCTCCTGAGGCTGGGCACTTGCACAAGCTGCCCTCTCTCTGTGATCCCTCTTCTCCCTCTTTCTTTATAGAAAGCTTCCCTTTCCTTTATTTATTTATTTATTTATTTATTTATTTATTTTTAATGTTTATTTATTTTTGAGACAGAGAGAGACAGAGCATGAACGGGGGAGAGTCAGAGAGAGGGAGACACAGAATCCGAAACAGGCTCCAGGCTCCGAGCTGTCAGCACAGAGCCCGACGCGGGGCTCCAACTCACGGACCGCGAGATCATGACCTGAGCCGAAGTCGGCCGCTTAACCGACTGAGCCACCCAGGCGCCCCAGCTTCCCTTTCCTTTAAAGGTTTTGTCTCAATGCCTCCTCTTCTTAAAAGTCTTCCCTCACTCTTCCAGGTAGAGCAGATGAGCCAATGCCTTCTATGTGCTCATAACACGCTTTGTTCACACTTGCATTATAACACCTCACACTGAATCATAACTATTTGTGTATGTGTGTACGGTGAGCAGGGACCACATCTTAGTCATGTTTTTATATCCAGAGCCAAGCACAGTCTGGACACCTAAGTGTTAGTGGATATTTAGCAACTGGGTTGGTCGACAGATCATGGGACAGAAGGATGGGTAAGTGGATGAATGAATAGAGCCTGTATCCCTGGTTCTAAAAGCAAGGCGACTCTGATCTAGCTCATCAACTGTGAGATAAAGAATCAGAACAGGTGATTTTTAAGGTTACCTCCTGCTCTGATGTTCCGGGTTTTGAGAGTCCATAAATCATGACTGGTTATTGCCATTGGAATCAGAGCGCCTTCTTGGCTGCTTGAGAAAACTCAAAGGACTCCCAGGTTCGTGATTAAAGATCAAAAAGCCCATGGAAGCCTGCTGCACTGGGACAAATAAAACCTGGGCACGGGCTGGGTGTCCTCCTGTCCCAGTTGGCAACACTCAACCATTACCCCAACATACCTGCTGAGGGAAGAAGCCTCGAGCAAAACCAGTTTCGAGCCGGCTCAGCAACAGCATAGCTACACATTCCTGTAAATTTCAGTGCCATGCAAGGGCCTGGACAGGCGAGTCCGTGCCGCTATGTTACATAGCTCCGGTGGCTACCTTTGCTTGCTGCATAATCTGCGGGTGTGGTTTTCAGGATAGACTTGTGCCGATTTAGGTCGGAGGTGAGGACCAAAATAATCCCTAGTTCAGCTTTCGATGGAGAAAAGAGTGGAGTATACCCCATTCCCTCTCTACAGGGCTAGAGAAGGTGACATTAAATTCAGGCCACAAGGCCTGTCTTCATGCTAGCCACACACTTCAGCCTTACGTGCAGATCACACGTTAGGTGCAGTGAGGAATACGCAGAGGGATGAAGTGGGTCCTGTCCTCAAGGAGCCTACGTTCTAGCGAGGGAGATCAAGAATGTACTTAAGATAGCATGGGTACGTTCTCTGCAGAGCGGACAGCAAACAGAGCCCATGTGGATGCAGCCTGCAGGAGGAAGTAGGGAATGCCTCACAAAGGAGCAAATGTATTCAATAGACAGAAATGTCATTGACCGGCTCGGTCAGGAAGAGTGCTTGGGCAAGGGTACGGTGCAGTCTGAGTACGGGGCAGTGAAGGAAGGTGGGTGACATGTTTGGCTACAGCAGAAAGTGTAGATGAGAAAGACAGGGGATCTTTCGCCATCCTGGGGAGGTGGGACGGAAGGGGTCAGCCAGGTCTTGGAGACCTGTGTCATTATTCACTCAAACAGTTATTTACCCAGTGCCTATTTTTGCTGTGTTTTGTTTCTACCTTTGGGCGACAGTCTCCAAGGTTTAGAATACATCCCGTAGGCAATGGGGGTGATCGCTGGAGGATCCTGAGAGGTGATGAGGGTAGACAGGTGGAAAGCCTTACTTTACTGCTTCCCTTTCTTACTTACATGATCTCTGGCAGGAGAAATTTTGTGATGACATCACTCAGGCTTCATGGAATTGGACACATGACCTTACGATCCCTTCCTAGGAGATTCTGTGATCAATTATCTATTTGTAATCAGTACAAAGCTCTTATAGAAAACATCAGGATAAACTGTGTTGCACGCAAGCACACAGCACACAGAGAGATCACTCTGAGAAACTCCTGGAACTAATGAGATGTCATATAGAAGGTCACATATCAAAAGCACCTTTCTGGCAACACTCATAGCAGGAGTTGGGGTACTTGGACCCCAGGATATGTCTCACGTGAGATCCCCCCCTTCACTCCGGGAGGCCGCAGAAACCTCAGCCCTCTGTGGCTTCTCTTGAGCTAACAGCAGATTTGCAGGCCCGTGATCCAAAGGCAGGGGTGAGAGCACAGGGCATGGTGAGAAGAAAAGAGACAAGTCAGAATTTGAAACTACAGGAAAGAAAACACTTCTTAACCAACAGAGCAGCTCATTTTAAAGAGATTGAGCCCTGCCTTTCAAAAAATGCAATCAGTATTAAGATCGTTGATTTCCTTCTTCCCCTTCCTACACAGGGAGGGGTTTACTGTAAATTATTTTGGAAGATAAGTGAGTACAAACTTACCTTTGAAAGCACCCAAGAGGCAGAGAGGGGAGTGAATCAAGCTTAAAACATAAGCAATGCAAAGAAAGATGGTAGGAATTAAAACCCGTCTGGTGGCTTTTCATAAATGTATTCTTGCAGAAGTAGGGGGTTCTATGGCTCTTTGCTGTTTTTGAAACATTTTTATTTTGACTGGATCCTGGGGGGACTTCATTTGTCCTTTACCCTATGAACTGTCTCAGAGCCTGAGTCAGGGCTTTTATACAGAAGGGGACCTTCAAACAGCATTTGATGACCTTCAAGCAATATTGATCATTGTGAGTTCCTGGAGACCCTGCACAAAGGACACATGTCTTCTCCATCTCTGTTCCCTGCCGTGTGGAAACTGCATATTGCAGGAGTCAGATTGTTTAAATGAGTTCAGGTCTGGGGTGCCTGGGGGGCTCAGTCGCTTGAGCATTTTAGGCTCTTGCTTTCGTCTCAGGTCATGATCTCACAGATCGTGAGAGAGAGTCCCGAGTCGGGCTCAGCGCTGACAGTGTGGAGCCCACTTGGGATTCTCTGTCTTTCTCTCTCCCTCTTTCTCTGCACCTCCCCCATTCATTCCCCCCCACTCCCCCTCTTCCCCCCCCCCAAAATAAATAAACTTAAAAAAAAGAAAAAGCTCACAGGGCACCTGGGTGGTGCAGCCAGTTGAGCGTCTGACTCTTACTTTTGGCTCAGGTCATGATCTCACAGTTTGTGGCTCAAGCCCCCCATCAGGCTCTGCGCAGACAGCATGGAGCCGGCTTGGGATTCTCTCTTTTCCTGTCTCTCTGCCCCTCCCCTGCTCGTGTTCTCACTCCAAACAAATAAATAAACTTAAGCAAAAGAAAAAAAAAAAGAGCTCAGGCATGAGCCCCAGGAGATGAGGATACAACCACCAACTCTAACCCTTAACATCCAAGAGACCGTGGTGGCAGGGTCACACGCCCCCTCTGGGCCTTAGTTTTCTTTTCTGAGAGTCAATAGAACGAGGCATGTAATTCTGTGGTCCCTAATGAGTTGAACCATGAATTGAATTTGTTCAGATGCGAAACTGGCCAATTAAATAAAACACCTTCTTTTCGTGATGTTCTTGGTGGGGGAAATGCTAACACAGTAACTTCCGCTACACCAGGTACAATGCCAATATGCCTTGCTTATTTCACTTCCAACAAATGGATATTGAGGATGGAGCGATTCAACTAAACCACCACAACTCCGGTGTCCTGGTTGGGAGTCACTACTACCGATGCAGCCCAACTTCCCACGCCTTAGGCACTCCCACCCGGGATCCTGATCCAGGGGTACAGTCTTAATGATGGTATTGAATGCCAATAGATCCCGAAGTATCTTACGAATTAATCAGAAGAGCTTAAATCATGCCAGTGTATGATTTTAGCGTTCAGCAAAGTGTGTTGTAATCTACTTATTTGGGAACCACGAATCAGTAAATGATATAAATGGTAACCAGATGAACCAGAATTTTCCATTGCCCAGAATACCCCAGTCCCTAGCCATCTTAGGTAAACAGGAATTTACTATGGCATTAAAATAATAATAGCCTCCAAGGACTAGATTCTCGTAGTCTCAGGCTTGCCAACTGTCCAGCAATGTGGCAACTGCAGAGAACACTGTCCACTCCAGCTGGGCATTACCGGGACCCAATCAGACTCCGTTTCAGAAATCATGGGCGGTGTTTCCATGGAGCTCTGCCCGAAAAGAGGTGATCTAAATCTTGCATGAGAGATGTACATCAACAGGGAGCTTTGCCTAGAACACTGT